AACTAATGATCTTATCTAACGATGTTCGTGAATTGAGAAAATATGTTATTATATTTATATAGTGATAGCTTAAGATATTTCATGACTTAAGATATTTCATTTATCATAATAGTTGAGTCCAGGTTGGTCCTGTTCCTCATTCCAGTGGTCCTCATTCCAGTGCTGTAGCTGCTGGTGCGGGTCCTGCGTCCTGGTACTGCCTGTGTCCGGTGATGTGTTCCACGTAGATATCTCGGGACCAGCGGATCGTGTCGGAGACCATCATCAGCACTGCATACTTTTTATTGACCTGAGTGCTGCTAACGCGGTCCAATTGCGGCTGCAATATCCGCCGAGAGACCGACAATGAAGGCGTCTACTGTAGTCCTAAATCACCTTGGCTCGAAGAAGTGCTCAGCAAGTGCGGTACTTGTCCTTCTTCAGCTGTCTAGTTGTATGAAGGCCTCGGTCCGGTTCTCGAAGGGCACCGCTATATCGATTATCGCAGCTGTTTTCTCTCTGTGTCTATGATAACGATGTCCGGTCTCTCTTGACCGTCGTATTTGGTATCGGCTGGTTGGCGTATAGGGCTCCGTCCGCTGGTTTCTTTGCCGCCGTAATCAGTCTCTGCACGATGCTGTCGTGTCTCTTTGTAATGGCGTTCAAGTGCGGCTTGCAGTGATTGATGACGTGAGGCAGGGTCTCATCGTGCTGTCCTCATCTTCTGCATCGTTTGTCGCCGCTGCCAAATGGACGACTCCCGTTCAGTGGTAAAACGTTGAGCCGCGCTCGATGAATAAATTTCCACTCTGCAAATCTGGTGAAGCCGCCTTGCTAAGGAAGTGGTTCGATGCAGAGTTTTGTGTCGTTACCCCGAACACTTTTCCTTGGTCCGGTTTCCTGAGTAATCTCTTCCTGTAGTAGAACCGTCGTGCAGCTGCTCGTAGGCTCGATTCTGCGTTTTCCCTGCTCACTGGCGCGTTGTCGACGGTTAGCTCGTCCAATCCCAGCTGCAGGTTAATCTTCGGTTTCAGCCTTCGCACTGCCGTCCTGAGCCTCGACCACGTCGTCGTAATGTCATTCGCTGGTTTTCCGAGATCGCCACTTGTTCCGAATTTTATGAATCCGACGATCTCCTCCGTGTTGGGTCGTGTCCCACACGTTCCTGACGACGTCTGCTAGCGTGGCTCTGCTGAGTTCTGCCGTGGCCCTGTCCTTTGATGTCAGCAGTCGGTGGGCGTGTACAACCTGTCCTATATCTGCCAACACCGCTGCTGGTAGGATGTTGAATCCGCCTTCTTTGTAACTCAGATATAGGACCTCGGCGCTGGCTCTCTGCGGCAAGTGGGCCCATTTTTTGACGCTCCTCTTCACCTGTTTGTCGAATCTGTGCAGGATTTTCTTGGCCACGTTTCCATTCTTCAGATGAAATTCCACCTGCGGCACGATGAAGGTATTGACTGCGTCGATCTTCTGCCATGGCGCCAGCAGCGACTCGTCTACTCTGGATAGGTGCTGCTGCATCTGCTCTAGTACGTCTTCGCCTGACGAAAAAAAAAAGAAAATCGTGGGTGGGAACGCCTAAGTGCTCGTACCACTCCTCCTGCGAAAGTGCTCTCAGGTTTTCTGCTCCCAGCTTGAAGGTCGTTCCGATTGCGCTGCGTCGTCGTCCGTCCACGTGTAGGGTCGCGCACTTCTGGCGTTGAATTGCAGCCCGGACCAGGCGGCTATTGTCTTCGTCGTGTTTAGCAGTCGGAAGTGCCTCTCTGTCGGCTCCAATGATGGCCAGGTCGTCAGCATACGCCAGGACGTTGAACTTCTGGCCCTCCAGTTCGTAGTAGTTGGCCGTCCTGGCTAGCGCGTGCAGCAGTGGTTCCAGCGTGATGTTGAACACGATCGGAGAGAGAGGGCACCCCTGTTTTACACCAGCTCGAACGGGGATCTCGTTGGTTGCTCCGTGCTCGCCGCGAACTCTAGTGTACGATCCCCTGTATAGTCTGCGGATTACGGCGATGGAGTCGGCGTGGAGACCTGTCCATTCCAGGGCGTTAAATATCGCTGCATGCGGAACGGCGCCGAATGCATTCCTCAGATCTAACCATGCTATGGCGGCTTGTTTTTGCTTCCTCCTTGCGTCTTGGATGATTGACTGCAGCGTGAAGTTGTGCTCTGCGCAACCGTCATACTGCATAAAGCCTTTCTGCGACGGCGAGATGCGGTTGTTCTCTATGCACCATTTGGACAGTCTGCTCGCAATCACCGATGCGTAGAGTTTCGCCAGTGTATTTGACAGCGCAATTGGCCTCCAGTTGTTTATGTCCCTTAGGTCTCTCCTTTTTCGGAATGAGGATGGTGCTAGACTCGTTCCAGCTCCTCGGCACGTGCTGTAGCTTCCGGACTGCGTTGAAGACAGCAGCACAGATGTGGCCTCCCCGATCGTAACGCTTCCATACGCCGTAACGAAGTCCGTCTGGTCCCGGTGCGCTGTTCTTGCTCCGCTGCAGCCGCTGCCATACTTCCTCCGGGGTGAACTCTGCGCTGAGGGGATCGTTCATGGCGACCGGCGCTGGTGTTGGTACCTCAGCTGGGCTTCCTGTGACAGCATGGTTTTTCTCCTTGTAGAGTTCTATGAAGTGGTCCTGTATAGTCTGAATTTGAATTCTGCAGCCTCTGCCTTCGTGTTCCTCTGTGATCTCTCTATATGCTCTCTTTTTGTCGCTCCGGTACAGCTTCTGGATGCGTGTCGCCCTCGTGACGTCCTGCTCGGCATTCGTTGCTCTCGGCCTGCGGTTGAAGTTATTCCTCTTCTCGGAGCCCGTTCCGGCGGTCTCCTGGTCTCCGGTTGCAGCCTGCTTACGAGCGCCGATACCTCCCGCTCCAGATCCTCGCTGCAGGTGACCACTTGCAGCCTGAGAGCAAACTATTCTTCACCCCCCAAAGTTCTATGAGCGAATGTTCTAATATGGCTGTTAACTCTACTGTCGTTATAAGCCTTTTCTCACATTTGTAAAATTTTACAAAAATATTATATAAAGTATTTTCTGACACTTGCAAAATTTTTCAAAAAAATATGTTATTAGGAGAACAGACGGTCATATTCATATTAATTTCTTTATCGATAGATGTGTGTTCATACTTATATATATTAAACTCATTTTTTGTCATATTTATATGAAGTATTTTCTGACACTTGCAAAATTTTCAAAAAAATATGTTATTAGGAGAACAGACGCTCATATTCATATTAATTTCTTTATCGATAGATGTGTGTTCATACTTATATATATTAAACTCATTTTATCGTCATATTTATATAAAGTATTTTCTGACACTTGCAAAATTTTTCAAAAAAATATGTTATTGGGAGAACAGACGCTCATATTCATATTAATTTCTTTATCGATAGATGTGTGTTCATACTTATATATATTAAACTCATTTTTTGTCATATTTATATGAAGTATTTTCTGACACTTGCAAAATTTTTCAATCCTATTATCGTTATATATAATCTTTTGTTAGATTTGTATAGCTTTATATATTTTTTATTTTATTATTAATTCTATAGTTTTTATATAATTATTTATATAGTTAATTTAAAATCAATTATCGATATTACATATCAATATATTTATATATATTTATATATATATATATATTTAATATGCAATATATGCACATTTTTAAATTTATTATTATATGATGGTTTTTTATGGGCCGATCCCGGCGGTACTGCAATACCGGGCCAACCCGCGGCGGAAGCGGAGCAAGCCCCTGACATTCCGCCAATTTCCAAAAATCAGTTTAATATACTGGATCTGCTATGCAGATACTATCAGATATTAAGCTGATAAGAACAGATGTTTCTTTTTAGATAATGCTGATGATATAGTGTAGGCCATTTGCAAATCTTAAAGAATTTTGATGTATCGCTGTGTATGTCAGACCAAGTATATAACTAGTACAATACGCGGACTGACATATAGCGAGCATATATCTGGAAGAGGAAATTACAATTTTATTGATATATAATAAAACACTACGGGCCAGCTATTAGCTGGTAGTGTGTATACATTTATTCAGCATTTTTAAATTATAGAAAATTATGCCGTTAACATGTTAACGGCATGTACATATTGTGGATAATATAGTATTCATAACATCAAAAAGTATATAAAATTATTTGAGCAATAGCTTCGATATTCTTCAGTCTTGGTCCTTATTCAACCATGGTGCTGGGTAGAATGTATTCGTTGAGGTTATAATATCGTCATTCAACAGTTTTCTCGTCCCTCCTCAGCCGTGGTATTGTCTGCTTCCTGTGATGTGTTCGACATACATGTCACGGGACCATTTGATAGTGTCGGACACCATCAGGCGCTTCATTAGCACAGAGTAGCGGCGGCCTATTCCTAAGGCTATTAGGGTTTCGACGTTACTTTTGTCGTATCCCCCGAGTGATCCCATGACGAATACCAGGATTTTGGTGGTTAGGCCTTGAGTATGTAAATGATTGGCCAGGGCACTATATTTCCTGATTTTTTCAGCTCTCGCAGTAACGAATGCTTGAGGCCGGTTCTCGAACGCCACCGTCACATCCATAATTAAGGCGATTTTCTGCGTTTCGTCTAAATGACTACGTCGGGTCTCTCAGTCCCAATAAATCCCGGGATCTGCTGATTAATAAACGTTCTGGATCCAGGTGGCACCTTCATTGCTTTCGTCAACCGGTTTAGAATCGCGTTATGTCTTTTCGTCATGGTGGCAAACTGTGGACGGCAGTGGTTCAGAACGTGCGGCAGCGTCTCGTTCTGGTGTCCGCATCGTCTGCACCGTTTGTCGTTCTGGCCGAATCTTCGGCACCCGTTCAACGGCAGTACGTTCAGACGGGCTCTATGTATGAAACGCCAGTCGGCAAATCTTGTAAAACTGCCATCTCTTATAAAGTGGTTGGAGACAGAGTTGGCCGATGTCACTTCCATAGCTTTTCCCTGGTCGGGTTTAAGTATAAGTTTGTTGCGGAAGTGATTCCGCGCCGCTGTTCTTAGTGCGCTTTCTGAATTCTGTCTCTCAACGCGCTTGTCGTCCACTTGCAGTGAGTCCAATTCGAGGAGGAAGTTGATTTTGCCCTTTAGGCGTCTGGCGGCTGCTCTGAGTCTCGTCCATGTCGAACTAATGTCGTTGCTCGGTTTTGCCACCAATCCTTCGTCAGATCCGTTGATGTAGTCAACGAGTTCCTTCGGCGTGGCCTCTCTGATCGTTTTCTTCCGAACAACCTCCTTCAGCGCTGCCAGACTTGCTTCTGCGACGCTGTCATCGTTGGACGTGAGCAGTCTGTGCGCATGGACGACCTGTCCGATGTCTGCCAAGAAAGAGGTTGGTAGCAGGTTGAAGCCTCCCTCTTTGTAGGCGAGATATAGGATCTCAGCGCTGGCTCGCTTTGGCAGATTGGCCCACTTCTTGGCGTAAGTCTTCACCTCCCGGTCGTATATCCAAAGTAGTTTTTTCGTGGTTTTACCGTTCCGGAGGTGAAATTGTAATTGCGGCATGATGAACGTGTTTAAGGCGTCCACCTTTTGCCAGGGGGCTAGTAACGAATTGTTCAGTTGCTCCGCATGCCTCCTCATCGCCCTGATGACTTCGTCGGCCGAACTGAAACTCTGAAAACCCGTTGGGATGCCTAGGTATTCATAAGATTGGTCCATGTCCAAGGTTTTCATAGTTTCTCCATTCAGGCTGAAGGTTGTAGTAATAGCTCGGTGTTGTTTGCCGTCCACATGCAGCGTGGCGCATTTTCTGGTGTTGAACTGCAGTCCGCTCCATTTTGAAACCGTAGCTGTAGTGTCCATCAGTTATCAGCCATCAGCACAAGATCATCGGCATACGCCAGCACGTTATTGATGGTGCCGTTTGCATTATAGTTTTCTGGCGTGTTTCGGATGGCTCGTAGCAGCGGTTCAATGGCCATGTTGAATGTTATAGGAGACAGCGGACATCCCTGTTTCACTCCCGCTTCTACTGGAACGTCCTCCGTTGATCCCTGGACGCTTCTGATCTTCGTCGTGCATCCGCTATAAATTCTTTCTATCAGGGCAATGCTCTCGCTGCCCAGTCCCGCCCAGCGCATTGCGTTAAAGATTGTTTTATGTGGGATCGAACCGAAAGCATTTTTCAGGTCTAGCCATGCGACCGCGATTTCTTTTCGTCTTCTTCTGGCATCCTGAATTGAAGATTGCAGCGTGTAGTTATGTTCGCTGCAACCTTCAAATGGCATGAAACCTTTTTGTGCGTTTGAGATGCGGTTATTTTCTTTGCACCATTTGCCCAGGCGATCTGCCAGAACCGAGGCGTATAGCTTTCCAATTGTATTCGACAGGGCGATAGGCCTCCAGCTCGTGACCTCATCCAAGTCGCCTTTCTTCGGAATTAAGATGGTCTCCGACACTTGCCACGAGCGTGGTACATACTTCAGTTTGTGTGTTTGGTTAAATATTGCCGCTAATATATGCGAGCCAGGGTCGCATTTTTTCCATAGCCAGTATCTGATGCCATCGGGACCCGGTGCCGTATTTTTGCATTTAAGCGCACGGGCCCAGATCTCTTCTGCTGTGAAATCTTTAGTAAGAGGATTATTGTTCCCATCTCCCACCGGTGTTATTGGAGGTATAATTTCTGGCATGGCTTCTGATGGTTCCGGATCTGGTTGTCTTCGGTAGACGGCCTTGAAGTATGCGTGGAGGAATTCGGGTTCAAAGTGACAATAAGCTCTTTCGTTATTTCCCGTTATTTTCCTAAACGCCCTTTTTCTATCTCGTCTGTATAGTTTTTGTATGCGGGCAGCAGCGGCGGGGTCGAAGGTCATATCCGTATTCCTCCTACGACGTCGTCTCTGATCGGTATTGGGTCGGTATCCCAATTGGGACGACCTGTCTCGTCATTTGTTTCGGATGTATTTTCTTCAGTTGCTACTCTTCTCGCTATTAAGCTAGGCCACATTGGAATTTCATCGTCTACAATTCCGGGTAGTAATGCTGGCGGTTCCAGCTCCGGTGGCATCTCTGCTGTGGTAGGCAATTGGCTTCCGCTTGTCCTATTTGTGGTGATTTCTATTGGGCTGAGCCACAGCGGAATATTTTCGCCGGTTTCCTCGTGCAGTTGTCCTGGTGGATTGAGTTCTGATGAACTCTCAACTGTGGTGGATTCTCGTCCTCCGCTTGATTGCCTCTTCTCGCTGTTAAATTAGGCCGCGTCGGGGTTTCATTGTTTAATGTTTCGGGTAGCAAAACTGGTGTTTCCGGCTCCGGTGGCGTCTCTGAAATGGTGGGCAGCTTTTCCCGCTCGTTCTATTTGTGATTATTTCTATTGGACTGGGCCACAGCAGAATATTGTCGCCGGTTTCTTCGCGTAGTAGTCCTGGTGGATTAGGTTTTGGTGACAATATTTCAGCTGCGGTGAATTCCGGGTTTCCGCCTGTTGTGTCTAAGGTCGCGCTTTTCGTTCTCCAAATAACCCTACCACCCTTCTGACTTCGGTCTGATGGAGGCACACTCGCGGCTCTAGTTCTTGACCTTGTCATAATTTGAGAGCTAGAGGCTGGAGGGGGGGTTATATTCCTGGTCCCTGATGTGGTTACTGCAGTTTTAGGTCTCTTTTTGGTGATCGAAGCAGGTCTGCTGCTCCCAGCCTGAATATTTGGGCCAACTGCAGAAGTGGACTTTGGTGGAGTGCTGGGTGTTGGCTTGGTCGGTTTATTATGTTTTGTCATATTGGCCTTTTTCCCGCGACCTTCACATTTCATGAGGTGGCCCCTAAATGCGTTTAACGATGTTGGTAAGTTGCATAACGAGCATTTGTATTTGAGCACAGCGTGGTGCTCTATCCTCAAATGCATCATAAGTTTACTCTTCTGGGTGTATGCTTTCCTGCATTTGGGGCAATGTGCTTTGTCATCTTTCAATGGTAGGTCCAGGTAGACGACCTCAGACTCTGCAGAAGTAGTATTTTCTGTGCTGAGCGAAAGTCTGAGGTCGTAATCCCAAGGCTTTGCAGGCCTGCGTCCGGGTAAGCTTCTTTGGGAGCTCATGTAGTATCTGCTTTCTTATTTGGGGCAAGTTTTCTCATGACATTTCATGCATATCACCATTTATTCATTCATTCATTCATATGTTGGTTTATATTGGTTTTTGAGCAAGGAAAGAAAGAAAAAAAAAAAAAAAAAAAAAAAAAAAAAAAAAAAAAAAAAACACACACATATATATATACTAGCGATGTGCCGACTCGAAAAATTCCGATTCGAATGATTCGAATCAGAAAAAAACCTGATTCGAATCAACTCGAATCAAGTAATATATATGGACAAAAAAAAAACATCGATGTATTAATTTAGTAAAAGTGATCCAAATTTATAATCAAAATTGTCAGTTTAACTAATATAACCGACAAAGTAGAAATTGTAAACATAAATTACTATCAAAAAGTATATTCTGAAAATTATTAAAAATGATATAATTTTGAGGATGGCTGAAACATATCTTCAAATTAATTTACAATAATAGATTACCAAACAATTGTGCATCACTAAAGCATATAAAATAATAATTGGAATCATTTGTCGATTGTTTATTTCACTATATAATCAGTAAAGGATCGCATCTAAACTGAGAGCTGAAAGTTAATTTCATTAATGTGAATTTGCCATTACTTACATAATCAGAAGTTAACATATTATTTACTAACTTTCTGGTGTTTAGTAATTGTTTCAAAAGAGAATTATATTGAAAGATTCCCGAAATTCGTTTCATAATTTCGAGTGGTTTATTCTGATAACATTTAAAATCTAAAACACTTAATTATTATCAAAATTGGGTATTGATATTTCACGAACAAAATCGCTCTCAGCGCTCCGTAAAATAAATAAACACGCAAGAACGACGACGCATTGTATTTGTTTCAAAGTCGCTTGATATCGCCCATACGGTTAACTCATATCGCTCGAACGGCTTGAAGTCGGAATGATTCGAATCCGAATTGAAGTCGAAACAACTCATAACGCCGCTTGATTCGGTTTGAGTCATGAAGTCGGAACAACTCATAACGCCGCTTAATTCGGTTTGAGTCATGAAGTCGGAACAACTCATAACGCCGCTTGATTCGGTTTGAGTCATGAAGTCGGAATAACTCATATCGCCGCTTGATTCGGTTTGAGTTATATGAAGTCGGATGATTAGTTAGTCGATGAATGCGGTTAAAGTCATATAAAGACGATTGTAGTCGGCTGATACATTTAAGCATATTAAAGTCGGGTGGCTCGCATGATTTAATTCATTATTTATGTTTTATATTTATGATATTTATTTTTTATATTATTATAATATTAAATTATATTAAAACATTTTTTTATATTTATATTTATGAAACATTTTATATTTATGAAAAATTTGTGTTAAAACATATTTTATCGCAGTAAATATTTCGCGGCTTGATACGAGTTGATTCGAATCAAGTAAAATCTGATTCGAATCAAGTCGTTAAAGGCTTGATTCGAATGATTCGAATCACTTGATTCGACTTGGCACATCACTAATATATACATATACACATACACATATATATATATATATATATATACACAATAATATAATATAATAATAATAATAATAATACTAATAATAATAATAATAATAATAATAATAATAATAATAAAAATAATAATAAAAAATCAATAAATAAATAAATAAATAAAAAGTAAAATGGGCCAAAATAAATTTATATACAGGACATAAATATAAGTATAAAAAGCAAAAATAGATATAAAAATAAAATGCAAAAAGTAAATAAATAATTATAAGAGAGGAAAAAAAAATCAATAACGTGTAACATAGTAATAATTTAAAACATGTCATGTATTACTTTGAGTGTCTATAGTAATCCCACCGTTTGGGATTTGTCGAGCTTTCTTGTAGACAGCGAACGCGTATGTCGCTGTGTCGACAGCGTGCCTCGTCTGTTGTTACACGCCCAGTCGAGCGCAGGTCAAAGTGTGAGAACCAATTTATGGCAATTGTGAAAAGTTGTGTAAAGCGAAATGGAGTTTAGAGTTACTGATGATGTAATTAAAGGTTGGAATCATAATTATAACTGTGATACATTACGTTTGAATTTAGTTGAGCGACAAATTTAGATATATGTATATATATCTATTAAATAATAATCGATTTGGGTTCGTGTCTCACCGTTTAATGTTCCGCGGAGACGGGCTTCAGCTAAGGCGCGTCAGTGCCGTGATCGGTACACTCCGCGACAGAATGCATCGAAAATTTTGAACGATTGATATAATAGAATACGAAAATATAACTGAATTGTGAATGGATTTTGGTAGAAATATATTATAATTTGATATGATGGAGTAGTTGGTGGTAATGACCAACTTTGTGTAATGCAGCTATATGTAGGTATATTATTTATGTCTACAAGTATGCATTCACCGATCGGCAGAGAAGTAATTTTTTAATATAAATGTAGGCTTAATTATTATTATTTTAAGCGATTATATTAAAGTAAAAAATGAAAAGTGTATGGCAAAAGTAAAAAACACGACTATAAGTATAATTATAATTTTGGATATAATACGAGTAATAATAGTTAGTTAGTTTTTAGTTTCAAATTTAAATAAAGAAAAATGTATTAAATTTACAGTAACAATATAATTGCATTTACAACGATTTGGTTGTCAATGCAAAATGTATATCGTAATAGTAATTTGAGTATGTAATGGCTATTTATTATTTAATATATAGCGCGAAATTATAATTATAGTCGCGCGACTAAATACACATAATTATAATAAGAGAAGAATAAAGGTTTGAAAATTCTCGAACAGTAATTATGCGCGAGACGCGCAACGTTGTTAATTTTTTGTATCGCGTATTTTACCGATCAGCGAAACGCATCCATGCATCACCCACCGCTATACGTATACGCGACGCGCGAGCTGCAATCACACATACAATCAAACCGTCAGTACACACGTCCACCCGCATACACGCGCGACCTACAAACCAACATACGTGCGCACACACACACACACACACATGCACACACACACATATTACTTACTCATACTATGTCATAATGAGAAAACTTACCCGTATGATTTACTCGCGAATGGAACACATCACAGTTTTAGAATAAGTCAAATATTTATTTCTAGTTAGCGAAAGCCTTTTGGAAGCGTTGGCAAATCGTCGGAAGCGGAGCAGGCCCCTGACAAACAAAATTTTTCCAAAAATCACTTAAAACACTTTATTTCACGAAATTTATTAAGCTGATAAGAACAGATACTACACTTTGATCTTAGCCATTCGGCCGAGAAGCGATAAATTTGCGGACAAATACTATTTTTTAAATTCTACAATATAAACAAAATATTCCCAACTATTTCAACGATTCATTTTTCATCTATTTTTATCAACTCTCGCGTCCATTCCCTAACTATTCTTCACCCCCCAAAGTTCTATGAGCGAATGTTCTAATATGGCTGTTAACTCTACTGTCGTTATAAGCCTTTTCTCACATTTGTAAAATTTTACAAAAATATTTATATAAAGTATTTTCTGACACTTGCAAAATTTTTCAAAAAAATATGTTATTAGGAGAACAGACGGTCATATTCATATTAATTTCTTTATCGATAGATGTGTGTTCATACTTATATATATTAAACTCATTTTATCGTCATATTTATATAAAGTATTTTCTGACACTTGCAAAATTTTTCAAAAAAATATGTTATTAGGAGAACAGACGCTCATATTCATATTAATTCTTTATCGATAGATGTGTGTTCATACTTATATATATTAAACTCATTTTTTGTCATATTTATATGAAGTATTTTCTGACACTTGCAAAATTTTTCAAAAAAATATGTTATTAGGAGAACAGACGCTCATATTCATATTAATTTCTTTATCGATAGATGTGTGTTCATACTTATATATATTAAACTCATTTTATCGTCATATTTATATAAGTATTTTCTGACACTTGCAAAATTTTTCAAAAAATATGTTATTAGGAGAACAGACGCTCATATTCATATTAATTTCTTTATCGATAGATGTGTGTTCATACTTATATATATTAAACTCATTTTTTGTCATATTTATATGAAGTATTTTCTGACACTTGCAAAATTTTTCAAAAAAATATGTTATTAGGAGAACAGACGCTCATATTCATATTAATTTCTTTATCGATAGATGTGTGTTCATACTTATATATATTAAACTCATTTTTTGTCATATTTATATGAAGTATTTTCTGACACTTGCAAAATTTTTCAAAAAAATATGTTATTAGGAGAACAGACGCTCATATTCATATTAATTTCTTTATCGATAGATGTGTGTTCATACTTATATATTTAAACTCATTTTTTGTCATATTTATATAAGTATTTTCTGACACTTGCAAAATTTTTCAAAAAAATATGTTATTAGGAGAACAGACGCTCATATTCATATTAATTTCTTTATCGATAGATGTGTGTTCATACTTATATATATTAAACTCATTTTATCGTCATATTTATATAAAGTATTTTCTGACACTTGCAAAATTTTTCAAAAAAATATGTTATTAGGAGAACAGACGCTCATATTCATATTAATTTCTTTATCGATAGATGTGTGTTCATACTTATATATATTAAACTCATTTTTGTCATATTTATATGAAGTATTTTCTGACACTTGCAAAATTTTTCAAAAAATATGTTATTAGGAGAACAGACGCTCATATTCATATTTCTTTATCGATAGATGTGTGTTCATACTTATATATATTAAACTCATTTTATCGTCATTTATATAAAGTATTTTCTGACACTTGCAAAATTTTTCAAAAAAATATGTTATTAGGAGAACAGACGCTCATATTCATATAATTTCTTTATCGATAGATGTGTGTTCATACTTATATATATTAAACTCATTTTTGTCATATTTATATGAAGTATTTTCTGACACTTGCAAAATTTTTCAAAAAAATATGTTATTAGGAGAACAGACGCTCATATTCATATTAATTTCTTTATCGATAGATGTGTGTTCATACTTATATATATTAAACTCATTTTATCGTCATATTTATATAAAGTATTTTCTGACACTTGCAAAATTTTTCAAAAAAATATGTTATTGGGAACAGACGCTCATATTCATATTAATTTCTTTATCGATAGATGTGTGTTCATACTTATATATATTAAACTCATTTTTTGTCATATTTATATGAAGTATTTTCTGACACTTGCAAAATTTTTCAATCCTATTATCGTTATATATAATCTTTTGTTAGATTTGTATAGCTTTATATATTTTTTATTTTATTATTAATTCTATAGTTTTTATATAATTAATTATATAGTTAATTTGAAATCAATTATCGATATTACATATCAATATATTTATATATATTTATATATATATATATATTTAATATGCAATATATGCACATTTTTAAATTTATTATTATATGATGGTTTTTTATGGGCCGATCCCGGCGGTACTGCAATACCGGGCCAACCCGCGGCGGAAGCGGAGCAAGCCCCTGACATTCCGCCAATTTCCAAAAATCAGTTTAATATACTGGATCTGCTATGCAGATACTATCAGATATTAAGCTGATAAGAACAGATAATACATGTATTTAGTAAATAATATTTACAATGATTCCTAAAGCTAGTTTACAAAATATATATGGAAAGTATATCACATTTATAACTAATGATCTTATCTAACGATGTTTTTAAATTGAAAAAATACATTATTGTTATTATACAGTGATAGCTTAAAATAATTCATGACTTAAGATATTCCATGACTTAAGATATTTCATTTATTATAATAGTTGAGTCCAGTTTGGTCCTGTTCCTCAATCCAGTGGTCCTCATTCCAGTGCTGTAGCTGCTGGTGTGGGGTCCTGCGTCCTGGTACTGCCTGTGTCCGGTGATGTGCTCCACGTAGATATCTCGGGACCAGCGGATCGTGTCGGAGACCATCAACCGCTTCATCAGCACTGCATACTTTTTATTGACCTTGAGTGCTGCTAACGCGGTCCAATTGCGGCTGCAATATCCACCGAGAGATCCGACGATGAAAGCGTCTACTGTAGTCCTGAATCCCTTGGCTCGAAAGTGCTCAGCAAGTGCGGCGTACTTGTCCTTCTTAAGCTGTCTAGTTGTCTGGAAGGCCTCGGTCCGGTTCTCGAAGGGCACTGCTATATCGATTATCGCAGCTGTTTTCTCCTTGTTGTCTATGATAACGATGTCCGGTCGCTCTTGACCGTCGTATTCTGGTATCGGCTGGTTAGCGTATAGGGCTCCGTCCGCTGGTTTCTTTGCCGCCGTAATCAGTCTCTGCACGATGCTATCGTGTCTCCTCGTAATGGCGCTCAGGTGCGGCTTGCAGTGATTGATGACGTGAGGTAGGGTCTCGTCGTGCTGTCCACATCTTCTGCATCGCTTGTCGCCGCTGCCAATGGACGACTCCCGTTCAGTGGTAAAACGTTGAGCCGCGCTCGATGAATAAATTTCCACTCTGCGAATCTGGTGAAGCCGCCTTGCCTAAGGAAGTGGTTTGATGCAGAGTTTTGTGTCGTTACCTCGAACACTTTTCCTTGGTCCGGTTTTCTGAGTAATCTTTCCTTGTAGAACCGTCGTGCAGCTGCTCGTAGGCTCGATTCTGCGTTCTCCCTGCTCACTGGCGCGTTGTCGACGGTTAGCTCGTCCAATCCCAGCTGCAGGTTGATCTTTGGTTTCAGCCTTCGCACTGCCGTCCTGAGCCTCGACCACGTCGTCGTAATGTCGTTCGCTGGTTTGTCGAGATCGCCACTTCTTCCGAAATTTATGAATCCGACGATCTCCTCCGTGTTGGGTTCGTGTCCCACACGTTTCCTGACGACGTCTGCTAGCGTGGCTCTGCTGAGTTCTGACGTGGCCCTGTCCTTTGATGTCAGCAGTCGGTGGGCGTGTACAACCTGTCCAATATCTGCCAACACCGCTGCTGGTAGGATGTGAATCCGCCCTCTTTGTAACTCAGATATAGGACCTCGGCGCTGGCTCTCTGCGGCAGGTGCGCCCATTTCTTGACGCTTCTCTTCACCTGTTTGTCGAATCTGTGCAGGATTTTCTTGGCCACGTTTCCATTCTTTAGATGAAATTCCACCTGCCGCATGATGAAGGTATTGACTGCGTCGATCTTCTGCCATGGCGCCAGCAGCGACTCGTCTACTCTGGATAGGTGCTGCTGCATCTGCTCTAATACGTCTTCCCCTGACGAAAACGTAGAGAATCCGGTGGGAACGCCTAAGTGCTCGTACCACTCCTCCTGCGAAAGTGCTCTCAGGTTCTCTGCTCCCAGCTTGAAGGTCGTTCCGATCGCGCTGCGTCGTCGTCCGTCCACGTGCAGTGTCGCGCACTTCCTGGCGTTGAATTGTAGCCCAGACCAGGCGGCTATTGTCTCCGTCGTATTCAGCAGTCGTTGTAGTCCCTCTCTGTCGGCTCCGATGATGGCCAGGTCGTCAGCATACGCCAGGACGTTGAACTTCTGGCCCTCCAGTTGTAGTAGTCGGCCTTCCTGGCTAGCGCGTGCAGCAGCGGTTCCAGCGTGATGTTGAATACGATCGGGGAGAGGGGGCACCCCTGTTTTACACCAGCTCGAACGGGGATCTCGTCGGTTGCTCCGTGCTCGCCGCGAACTCTAGTGTACGATCCCCTGTACAGTCTGCGGATTACGGCGATGGAGTCGGCGTGGAGACCTGTCCATTCCAGGGCGTTAAACATCGCTGCATGCGGGACGGCGCCGAACGCGTTTTTCAGGTCTAACCATGCTATGGCGGCTTGTTTTTGCTTCCTCCTTGCGTCTTGGATGATTGACTGCAGCGTGAAGTTGTGCTCTGCACATCCGTCATACTGCATAAAGCCCTTTTGCGACGGCGAGATGCGGTCGTTCTCTATGCACCATTTGGACAGTCTGCTCGCGATCACCGATGCGTAGAGTTTCCCTAGTGTGTTCGATAGCGCGATCGGCCTCCAGTTGTTTATGTCCCTGGGGTCTCCTTTTTTCGGGATGAGGATGGTGCTAGACTCGTCCCAGCTCCTCGGTACGTGCTGTAGCTTCCGAACTGCGTTGAAAACAGCAGCGCAGATATGACCTCCCTGATCGTACCGCTTCCAAACGCCGTAACGAAGTCCGTCTGGTCCCGGTGCGCTGTTCTTGCTCCGTTGTAGCCGCTGCCATACTTCCTCCGGCGTGAACTCGGCGCTAAGGGGATCGTTCATTGCGACCGACGCAGGTGTTGGTATCTCAGCTGGGCTTCCGGTAACAGCATGGTTCTTCTCCTTGTATAGTTCCATGAAGTGGTCCTGTATAGTCTGCGTTGGAACCCTACAGCCTCTGCCTCCATTTTCCTCTGTGATCTCTCTATAGGCTCTCTTTTTGTCGCTCCGGTACAGCTTCTGGATGCGTGTCGCCCTCGTAACGTCCTGCTCGGCATTTGTTGCTCTCGGCCTGTGGTTGAAGTTGTTCCTCTTCTCGGAGCCCGTTCCGGCGGTCTCCTGGTCTTCCGGTTGCAGTCTGCTTACGAGCGCCGATACCTCCCGCTCCAGATCCTCGCTGCAGGTTACTACTTGCAGTCTGAGAACAAACTCCTCTTGTAGTTTGCTCAGCGTCGGCGATTCCTCTTGTAGCACAGTCTCCGCTACTGTCACTGCTACTGCCGCTGTTGCCGCCTCCGCTGCTTCTACTGCTTCTGATGCTGCTATGTCTGCTGCTGCTACAGCCTCTGTTGCTGCTACTGCCTCCGTTGCTGCTACTGCCTCCGTTGCCGCTACTGCCTCTGTTGCTGCTACAGCCTCCGTTGCTGCTACGGCCTCCGCTGCTGCTGGCGACTCTCGCGTTCTCTGCATTCGAATCCGCCGTACGCGTGTTGGAGCGGCATCTGTCGTTCTGCTTGGCGGCCTGTTGTCGCTGCATTCCATTGACCTTTTAATGTGTGCTGTTGCTCGCTTCAGTGTAGAGTGGACCTCTCCACAGTGGCTGCATCTGAACTTCATCATCATGTCTCGATTGTGCTCCTTCCTTAGATGCTTGAGCAGGTCATTGTGCGTCTTGTACTCCCGTGGTATAGGTAGGCAGGGCACGCAATTGAACGGCGGCGCAAGCGGTACATCCAGCACAGTGTAGGGCGTCTCGGTCTCCTCCATGCTTCCTTGTCCAGCAGGCGAGCGTTCTCTGGCTTCCGCGGCGTCCATTGTGTAATCCTACTTGTTGTATCCCGGGTGAGCGTACTTGTCGATCCTCTATCGCACGGTGAGCGTACTCGGCATTCCGCTATCCTTCGGTGAGCGTAACCGGTAGTCCTATGCAGTCGGTCTAGTGCTCAGATTCAGGTCAGGTCTAGGGTCCTTCCGCGGCGTCCATTGTGTGGTCCTACTCGTTCTATCCCGGGTGAGCGTACGCGTCGATCCGCTATCGACCGGTGAGCGTTCTCGGCACTCCTCTATCCTTCGGTGAGCGTAGCCGGTAATCCCGTGCAGTCGGTCTAGCGCTCAGGTTCAGGCAGGTCCAGGGTTCGGTCTCCACTTCAGTCCAGGTCCGGGGTCCAAGGTCCAGGGTCCAGCTTTCTCCTCAGTCCAGATCCGGGTCGGGGTCCAGGGTTCAGGGTCCGTGTTCCAAGTCCAGGTCCGGGTCCAGGGTCCGGCTTTCTCCTCTGTCCAGGTCCAGCGTCCAGGGTCCGGGCTCCTCGTCAGTCAGGTCCAGGGTCGAGCGTCCTCCTTAGTCAGGTCCAGGGTCCAGCGGCCTCCTTAGTCAGGTCCAGAATCCAGCGTCCTCCTTAGTCAGGTCCAGGGTCCAGCGTCCTTCTTCCCCGTCGTCGATCGGTTCGAAAAAACTAATTTCAAATAATAGTTCCAACTATATTCTTAAGCGGCAATAATCAACGCAAAAGAAGTTTTCACTACACTTTGATCTTAGCCATTCGGCCGAGAAGCGATAAATTTGCGGACAAATACTATTTTTTAAATTCTACAATATAAAAAAAATATTCCAACTATTTCAACGATTCATTTTTCATCTATTTTATCAACTCTCGCGTCCATTCCCTAACTATTCTTCACCCCCCAAAGTTCTATGAGCGAATGTTCTAATATGGCTGTTAATTCTACTGTCACTGTCGTTATAAGCCTTTTCTCACATTGTAAAATTTTACAAAAATATTTATATAAAGTATTTTCTGACACTTGCAAAATTTTTCAAAAAAATATGTTATTAGGAGAACAGACGGTCATATTCATATTAATTTCTTTATCGATAGATGTGTGTTCATACTTATATATATTAAACTCATTTTATCGTCATATTTATATAAAGTATTTTCTGACACTTGCAAAATTTTTCAAAAAAATATGTTATTAGGAGAACAGACGCTCATATTCATATTAATTTCTTTATCGATAGATGTGTGTTCATACTTATATATATTAAACTCATTTTTGTCATATTTATATGAAGTATTTTCTGACACTTGCAAAATTTTTCAAAAAAATATGTTATTAGGAGAACAGACGCTCATATTCATATTAATTTCTTTATCGATAGATGTGTGTTCATACTTATATATATTAAACTCATTTTATCGTCATATTTATATAAAGTATTTTCTGACACTTGCAAAATTTTTCAAAAAATATGTTATTGGAGAACAGACGCTCATATTCATATTAATTTCTTTATCGATAGATGTGTGTTCATACTTATATATATTAAACTCATTTTTGTCATATTTATATGAAGTATTTTCTGACACTTGCAAAATTTTTCAATCCTATTATCGTTATATATAATCTTTTGTTATTTGTTTAGCTTTATATATTTTTTTATTTTATTATTAATTCTATAGTTTTTTATATAATTAATTTATATAGTTAATTTGAAATCAATTATCGATATTACATATCATATATTTATATATTTTATATATATATATAATATATTTATATGCAATATATGCACATTTTTAAATTTATTTTATATGATGGTTTTTTATGGGCCGATCCCGGCGGTACTGCAATACCGGGCCAACCCGCGGCGGAAGCGGAGCAAGCCCCTGACATTCCGCCAATTCCAAAAATCAGTTTAATATACTGGATCTGCTATGCAGATACTATCAGATATTAAGCTGATAAGAACAGATGTTTCTTTAGATAATGCTGATGATATAGTGTAGGCCATTTGCAAATCTTAAAGAATTTTGATGTATCGCTGTTATGACAGACCAAGTATATAACTAGTACAATACGCGGACTGACATTCGAGCATATATCTGGAAGAGGAAATTACAATTTTATTGATATATAATAAAACACTACGGGCCAGCTATTAGCTGGTAGTGTGTATACATTTATTCAGCATTTTAAATCATAGAAAATTATGCCGTTAACATGTTAACGGCATGTACATATAGTATTCATAACATCAAAAAGTATATAAATTATTTGAGCAATAGCTTAGATATTCTTCAGTCTTGGTCCTTATTCAGCCATGGTGCTGGGTAGAATGTTTTCGCTGAGGTTATAATATTGTCATTCAACAGTTTTCTCGTCCCTCCTCAGCCGTGGTATTGTCTGCTTCCTGTGATGTGTTCGACATACATGTCACGGACCATTTGATAGTGTCGGACACCATCAGGCGCTTCATTAGCACAGAGTAGCGGCGGCCTATTCCTAAGGCTATTAGGGTTTCGACGTTACTTTTGTCGTATCCCCCGAGTGATCCCATGACGAATACCAGGATTTTGGTGGTTAGGCCTTGAGTATGTAAATGATTGGACAGGGCACTATATTTCCTGATTTTTCAGCTCTTGCAGTAACGAATGCTTGAGGCCGGTTCTCGAACGCCACCGTCACATCCATAATTAAGGCGATTTTCTGCGTTTCGTCTATAATGACTACGTCGGGTCTCTCTGCTCCAGAATATCCCGGGATCTGCTGATTGATAAATGTTCTGGATCCAGGTGGCACCTTCATTGCTTTTGTCAGTCGGTTTAGAATCGCGTTATGTCTTTTCGTCATGGTGACAAACTGTGGACGACAGTGGTTCAGCACGTGCGGCAGCGTCTCGTTCTGGTGGCCGCATCGTCTGCACCGTTTGTCGTTCTGACCGAATCTTCGGCACCCGTTCAACGGCAGTACGTTCAGACGGGCTCTATGT